TTCTTGGCGAGATGGCCTGAGCTGATCCCCTCCAGGATCCTCGCCAGACGAACATGCACGTGTCCGAGCGCTGCCAACTCCATGGCCGCTGTCGTCTCGCTTTTGTTCCTCTCGCCGCGTCCTTCCCGCTCCGCCAGGCCGCGAGCCTCTCTGGCCTCCTGCCCAACGTGGGCGCCAGGTTCCTCCACCAGGGGGGGCCCATGGGCCAGGCGTATGGAGTTGCCACGGGCCTGGCCGCCTCCAATGACTACCTACCAGACCACCCCAACCCAACCCGAAGACCCGAATTTCGGGTTGGGCGGGGTAAGGGTTCCACATGTTTTTTTCGATGTTTCCCGACCCCCCCCCCACTGGAAATCGAGGGTAACTCTGAGCCTTCGGGTTGGGTTGGGGTGGTTTGGTGGGTGGTGATCCAAATCGTCCGGCTGGGGCCACTCCGCACAGCCTGATGGTAGGCCACCATCCTCGATGGCACTCAATGCGGCAGGTTCGTGCCGCGACGACCCAATCGTTGGCTTCTGACGCGGCGTGGATCGTTCAACCTGGAACGATCGGCGGCTTTTCGGTCGCCAGATCGTTCCACACTGGACGATTCTGGGCCACTGGTGGCGTTCAACCTTGAACGCCCGCGGCGGGGTCGCCTCTGCATCACCGCGACACGAACCTGCCGTACTCTCCTGCGGTGGGTAGACCAGGGATCAGAGCAAGGTCTGAAACCGGGCTGCCGGCCTCTCCTCCTCCATCGGGGACGCTCCTCCTGTACCCGCCTCCGCCGCCCTGTTGGGTTTGCGGCCGGGCCTAGCACGGGTTGCGAAGATTCCCCGGGGCCACGAGGCCGCCGATCCGATCCGTGAGAGTGCGATTGCACAAGTCGCATCCTCCAAGATGGTTGTTCAACAGTTGCTCATCTCGATTCATGTTGTCTGGAGCAAGATGAGTTGAGACTTGACTTAAAGTACTTTACCTGACCTCCTCATTTCTTCTCCTCCTCCTCCTCCGCCTCCACCCCATCATCCTCATCATCCGCATCCTCATCTTCATCATTACTCCACCCCCTCCTCCTCCTCCTCCTCCTCCTCCTCTTCCTCCTCATCCTCCTCATCATCATCATCATCCTCATCATCATCATGATCAGCATCAGCATCAGCATCATCATCAGCAGCAGCAGCGTCACCACCACCACATCATCATCATCATGATCAGCAGCAGCACAAGCATCAGCATCAGCATCATCATCACCATCATCATCAGCATCCTCATCATCCTCATCATCATCGGCATCGGCATCGGCATCAACATCATATTCGTCATAATCAGCAGCAGCAGGATCAACATCATCATCACCACCACCATCATCATAATCATCAATACCATCATAGCATCATCATAGTCATCATCACCATCGTCATCACCGTCATCACCACAAAAAAACAGCATCATCATCACCACCATCATCACGGTCATTATCATAATCGTGATCATCATCAGCAGCATCATCGTCGTCATCATCATCATAACCATCGTCGTCATCATCATCATCATCATCATGATCAGCATCATCAGCATCATCATCAGCATTAGCATCGTCATCATCTTCTTCATCATCAACATAATCAACATCATCATCGACGTCATCACCATCATCGTCCTCACCATCATCACCACCAACATCATTACCAGCACCATCAGCATCACCATCAGCAGCATCATCGTCACCGTCATCACCACAATCAGCAGCATCATCACCCATCCCCACCATCATCGTCATCGTCATCATCAACACCAGCAGCAGCGTCATCGTCGTTGTCGTCATCCTCATCCTCATCATCATCCACATTCGTCCCTACTCCCTATTCCATCCTTCCTCTTCTCCGCGCGCTGCGCCGCACTGCTCTGCATGACCAACATCGCCCGCAGCCCTGCTGTGTGCTGCGCTCGTCAGCGCGCCTTCGTCCAGCGCGCGAAGGTAAAGCTGGAGCGCGCTGAGGAGCCCATGGCAGCATGCCGCCTGGAGCTGGACGATGTGCTCATGGCCAGGGCGGCCCAGCGTGAGGAGCAGCTCTCCCACGCCCACGTTCTTCTCGAGCGCCTCGAGGAGATGACGCCCTCAGCCACTCAGGAGAATGGCGGCGGAATGCAGGGCGAGGCCGCCACCACTGCCACGCTGCCAGCCGCCAGCATGCCTGGCACGCCGCCCCCGCAGGACACCGCTGCCGTCGCCGTGACCGCCCCGTTGCAGGCCAGCCAGATGCAGCTGACGCAGCAGATGATCACTACGACTGGCGTGCTCACCAACCTTTAGGTCGGGCCTGTCCCCCTACAGGGGGATTTTCGACGAAACATAAAAATACCCCAGAAATCATCAAAAAATAGTCCAAAAATAGTCTGGGGACTTTTTTTTGAGTATTGTTTGACCTTCTTGGGGTATTTTTGATGTATTTACCTAACAGCTCTTGCTGATAGGTTTCTAGTGGTCTCAAAAGAGGCATCATGACTCCTCAGGGGGGTCGGGGCGGGACCCGGGGAGGCTGCCGGCGCGGCTGCCGCCGCACTCGTTTTTCGCAAACAGTCACACACTTCGTGCTCTTCGACCTCCCAGAACTCCATTCCCGGGCCACATTTTGGATGCCCGGAGCCAACTGTAGGCCACTTCGTGCTCTTCGACTTCCCAGAACTCCATTCCCGGGCCACATTTTGGATGCCCGGAGCCAACTGTAGGCCACTTCGTGCTCTTCGACTTCCCAGAACTCCATTCCCGGGCCACATTTTGGATGCCCGGAGCCAACTGTAGGCCACTTCGTGCTCTTCGAGTTCCCAGAACTCCATTCCCGGGCCACATTTTGATGCCCGGAGCCAACTGTAGGCCACTTCGTGCTCTTCAAGTTCCCAGAACTCCATTCCCCGGCCACATTTTGAATGCCCGGAGCCAACTGTAGGCCACTTCGTGTTCTTCTAGTTCCCAGAACTCCGTTCCTGGGCCACATTTTGAATGCTGAGGCAGGCTGATGCTGCGGCCGAGGCAGGCTGAGGCTGAGGCAGGCTGAGGCTGAGGCCGAGGCTGAAGGCAGACTGAGGCTGAGGCTGAAGCAGACTGAGGCTGAGGCTGAGGCAGGCTGAGGCTGAGGCTGAGGCAGGCTGATGCTGAGGCAGGCTGAGGCTGAGGCTGAGGCTGATGCAGGCTGAGGCTGAGGCAGGCTGAGGCTGAGGCCGAGGCTGAAGGCAGACTGAGGCTGAGGCTGAAGCAGGCTGAGGCTGAGGCTGAGGCAGGCTGAGGCTGAGGCAGGCTGAGGCTGAGGCTGAGGCTGAGGCTGTGACTGCGACTGCCGTTGCCGCTGCGACTGTCATCGCGAATGCGACTACGACTGCGAGAACAGCAGAATTCTACAACTGGATTTTCATCTGAATCTTAAGGGGAATGCTTTCAGATATGCTTCTACACATCGCTGTTAGGTTGCTTTGCCAGGATAATCTTTATTTTTCGTCGAAAATCCTCCTGTAGGGGGACAGGCCCGACTTAAACCAACCTCCAGCAGGCGGGGCTGTGGAGGCGCCGCTGCCTGTCGCAGCCTCGGCCACGGGGGCGGCAGCGGGTGGCCTGAGCCCCTGCCGCGCCCGCCGCCGCAGCCTGCCGCTGCTGGAGCTCCGCCAGCGGCAGCGCCCACCTGAGCCAGCCCGTGCGGTCGCCGCGGCCGCCGGGCCGCTGGATGCGTCCAGCCCCGGCCCCGCGGAGGCCGAGGGACGGCGCCCGCGACGCGGCCCGCGCCACCAGCAGGGCTGACGAAGGATTGCAAAAAAAAGCAGGATTGCAAAAAAAAAAAACGGATTGCAAAAAAAAAAATGCAACAAAAAAAACCCTCCGAGCGTGCCAGGGGTCGGGCATGCGCGAAGAGGCCGCCGGGCCAGCAGGGCCTCCACCGGGCCCTGCAGCGGCAGCGGGGGGGCCGCATGCCACCGCGGCCGCGGGGCGCTGGCGTCGCCTGGGCAGCCGGCCGTGCCGACAGCGACCAGCCCCATCGGTCGCGCCGCGGCGCCCGCCGCTGGCGGTCGCAGCTTCCCAACGCGTTCGGCATGTAGCAGGCCATGCTCCTCCATATCGGGGTGCGGCTTCCCCCCGGGTCAAGTCCCAGCCCAGGGTCCCAGAGGGCCCTGGGGCAGATGTAATCGATTCGAGCGTCTGAGGGCAGGTATCATAGATTCGAGCGCGGCTCCTCTTCTCGACCTCATCCTCCTCCTCCTCCACCCCCTCCTTCTCCACCTCGTCCCTACATCCACATCCTCCATCTTCTCCTCCTCCTAATCATCATCTTCCTCCTCCTCCTCCTCCTCCTAGGCCCTCGCTTTATTTCACTTTTCAGGCCCTCCTTCGGTCCCCAGTTGTCAATCTACGCGGGTTGTATTGCCAGAGAGTTAACGCTTGACTAACAAATAAAATCCTTCTCTTCCTCGTTCCTCCTCCTAGAACCCCGTGATCCCCTCCTCCTCCTCCTCCTCCTCCTCCTCCTCCTCATCCTCATCCTCATCCTCATCCTCATCCTCCTCATCCTCATCCTCATCTCTCCCGCTTCACCCCTCGTCCCGCTCCTTTTCCTCCTCCTCCTCCTCGTGCCGCTTGGCTACATTGTCGACGCTGGGCCGTCCGCTGGCGCCATTAGAGCTGGAGAACGTCAGCGCGCAGGAAAGATTAGAGCTCGAACCCTTGGCCCCTCCTCCACTGAAGACCGCCCAGACGGGGCCGCAGCAGATCGTATCAGAAGATCCCACCGCATTGCCCATACATCGACGATGCATCGGCGACCTCTGGATGGAGAACATGCGCGACGCATCGCCGATGCATCGGCGATGCGGCGCGATCCTCTGGCCTCATCTATTCCAGCTCCGTCCCTTACCTCCTCCCCCCCTCCCCCCCTCCCCCTCATCCCCCTCCTCCTCCTCCTCCTCCTCCTCCTCCTCCTCCTCCCCTTCCTCCTCCTCCTCCTCCTCCTCCTCCTCCTCGGAGGGAGCTCGAGGTGAAAAATTCGGGGCCGCCCTCGCGATGCCAGCGACAGGCTCAGGCGGCTTCGCCCTAAGTCCTCACGTCGGCCACCTGCCGGCCCACCCCGATGTGGCTGGGGAGGCAACACGGTACCGATACCGGTACTCCCCGGACCTCTCCCCGGGTGCGTTCGGACCAGCATTTCGAGGCGGGTCCAGCCGTGGCGACGAGTTCCCCCGAGGAGCCCCAGAGAGGGCGGAAAAAAGAAGGGGATCGCAGTATCGGCACCTCCTTTTGTTTCTCCTCGGGGTGCAGGGAGGGAGGACGGGGAGGGGGCGAGGGGAGGAGAAGCAGCCAGAGGGCGTCGTGCCGATGCGAGCTCCGGGCGAGCGGGAGGGCCCCCCGTGCCTCTGCCCACGGCCCAGCTCTGGCACCGCTCGCTCCCCCCGTGCCTCTGCCCACGGCCGAGCTCTGGCACCGCTCGTTCGGGCCCCTGCACGCAGGGCCGACACCCTCGAGGCCCAAAAAGGGGCAGGCACACTCTGACGCAAGCCGCCTCGGGGCCAGGGGAGGGTCGAGGGCGGAGGAGGGAGGGAGGGGGACATAGACGTTGAAAAAGGGAGGAGCAGGAGGGGATGGACGAGGAGGGGGGCGTGGACATGGAGATGGGAGGAGGAGGAAGAGACGGATGTGTAGGAGGAGATGAGAGGAGGAGAAGAGGGGAGGAGAAGGGGTGAAAGAAGAGAATCTGTTCGCACGTTTCCGGTGGTTTGAATGGAACAACGGAAACGAATGATGGACGCGGGGAGGGAGAAGTGATGAGGGAGGAAAATAGAGAAGAGGAGGGAGGGAGGAGAGAAGGAGGGTAAATTATGATGGCGAAGAAGGCCGAAGGGGAGATACTCAAGGGAAAGAGGACGAGGGAGGAAGACTGGAGCAAAAAGGGGGCACAGAGAAAGAGGAAGGAACAGAGGTTGAACAAAACAAATATAAGGACGAGAAATCCGCCACTGCGCCTCCTGCGGCGCCCACGCATGGTAGAATGCCAAAGACCGGCTGATAGGGTTTCTGTCAGTATGTCTGAGGATCCCCTCCTCAGAGAGAGCGTGATCCACCGCCGCTTTACTGTGGAAAATTCCCCCCCCTCTTCCTACTGAACCCGGGGTTCCCCCGCCCTCCGAAAATCCCCCCCTTTTGCTGGAATTCCCCCCCCCCCTTCCCCCGGCAAAACCCCCCCCTCAGCTACCCCCCCACCTCCCCTCCAGAAAACCGGGGGGGGTTACTACCGGTTCGACCCCCCCCCTCTCGGAAAACCGGGGGGGGTCGTACAGAGCCACTCGACGGCCCAAGACGGCCCCAAGACGGCCGCAAGCACCCCCCCGGTCATAAGGCAAAGAGGGCCCCAAGCAGGCCCCAGAACGCCCCAAGACGGTCCAAGATAGGTGGCCCCAAGACAACCCAAAGCTGCCCAAGGGACCCACACGACTGCCACACAGGAGCCTAAGACAGCCCCACTCTGGCCCAAATGAGCTCCACGAGAGCCCCTCGAGAAGTGAAGACTGAAGGTGGCACGTGTGTCGGTCGTCCTCGTTCTCCCCCTCCCCCTCCGCCTCCTCGCCCTTCTCCTCAGCATCACCATATCATTATCACTACCACCACCGCCGCCATCATCAGCAGCATCGTCAACAACACAAACACCGTCCACAACACCATCCTCATCGTCATCCTCCTCGTCTGCCAACATCATCCTCATATGCTCCTCATCCTCGTTATCTGTCTCATCCTCCTCCGCATCCTCCTACGGTTCGTCATCCTCATCATCCTCCACCACCTCCACCTCATCATCCTCATCCTCATCCTCCTCATCCTCCTACTCCTCCTCCTCCTCCTCCTCCTCCTCCTCCTCATCATCATCATCATCATCATCATCATCATCATCATCATCATCATCATCATCATCATCATCATCATCATCATCATCATCATCATCAGCATCAGCATCATCAGCATCATCATCATCATCATCATCATCATCATCATCATCATCATCAGCATCAGCATCATCAGCATCATCATCATCATCATCATCCATCATCATCATCATCATCATCATCATCGCCATCATATCATCATCATCATCATCATCATCATCATCATCATCATCATCATCATCATCATCATCATCATCATCATCATCATCATCATCATCATCATCATAATCATCATCCTCCCCATCATCATCATCATCATCATCATCATCATTATCATCAGCAGCAGCATTGTCGTCGTCATCATCAGCAGCATCATAGTCATCATCATCATCATCATCATCATCATCATCATCATCAGCATCACCCTCATCACCCTCATCATCATCATCATCATCATCATCATCATCATCATCATCATCATCATCATCATCATCATTATCATCATCATCATCATCATCATCATCAGCATCATCCTCATCCTCATCCTCATCCTCATCCTCATCATCATCATCATAATTGTCATTACCATTTTCATCATCGCTGACAACAGCATCAGCATCATCATCAGCAGCAGCAACAGTATCAACAGCAGCATCATTCGCATCGTCATCACCAGCAGCAGCAACATCAGCATCATCAGCATCAGCGGCATCATCAGCATCATCACAACCATCATCATAATGATCATCATCAGCATCATCATCGGTACGGACATCGTTGTTATCTTCATCGTCGTCATCATCACGATCGTCATCATCGTCACCGTCGTCATCCTCATCCTCGTCCTCGTCCTCATCACCCTCATCATCACCATCATCATAGCATGATCATCATCATCATCAGCATCACCACATGAATCAACATCGTCATCATCATCATCATCATCATCATCATCATCATCATCATCATCATCATCATCATCATCATCATCATCACAACCATCACTATCATCCTCAGCGCGGTCGTCGTCGTCGTCATCATCATCACCATCCTCAACACCATCATCGTCATGTTCACCTCCATACTCCTCTCTAACGCCGGCAACACGTGGAACATAATGTCACATGTTACAGCTGCCCAAACCTCGGCACGCGAGGTGTCACGAGTTACGCCCCCCCGTAAATCGCCACCCATGGTGCTGCTATGGCACAGTGGCGAGACTTGCCGCGGGCAGCCAGATGATACATCTCCGCTGCGAAAGGATATTAATCTTGACTACCAGGGCGTGTCTGCCCAAAGAAGTGAGTAATCGCCCAGAAGTGATTTCTTCACTGTGCGTTCATGCGGGGAGAGCTTGAGTTGAGCCTCTGAAGTGGCCAGGAGTGAGTTCCCCCTGGTGAATTCATAGGGGGGGAGCTCTACCCGATCTTACCTACATGCTACCAGTGGGATCAGAGAGAACCCTTGAAAGCTATCACACTCAGCCGCTCGCAAGAGGTCGTGCTGGGAGTCTACGGGGTAAAGGCGGGATCGCTCGGCGTTGCCACAGTCGCTCGTGCCCAAGATAAACAACCTTCGTGACGGGCAAGTGCGCAGGAATGGGAGGAAGAGGGAAGCGTACTCCAGATTTCGTATAAAAGGGAGGGGGTCTGGACCCTCCAAGACAAGCCATTTCAGGCCTCCCCCGTGGGAGAACCCTCCAAAACATCGTCCCCAGACCCCCCCAGGCCCTCCAAGATAGCCTGGTAGAGACCCCCCCCCGAAATGAGACCCCCCTCCCTTTCATTACGAAATCTGGAGTACATGATTTGGACTGCGACGACCGCAGCGACGAGCACTGGGAGGACGAGCACGAGCGAGCGCTCGTAGCCCGCCGCCTCGGCGACGGATCTCTCCCCCCCCCCGCTCGCCAGCAGCTCCCCGCAGGGCTCCGTCGCGAGCGCGTCGGGAGCCACCTCCACGGGACGGTGGCGGGGGACGAATTTCTCCGAGCCGAAGCGGGGTGATCTGCGCGAGCAGGAGCGTACGGACCACCGCCGGTGACGACGACGACGACGACGACGACGAGGCGATAGCAGGCGGCGCAGGGAAAGAGAAAGGGAGGGGCATCTGAGATACAGATCCGCCAGCCCCCCCCCCTGTTGTGGGGGCTGTCTGGCTGCGAGGCGTGGGCTCCAGCAACTGAGAAGCTCAGCTCGTCAACGTCAGCGCAATGACGTACTTCGCAGTAGTTCAACATTCTTAAGTACCATCCCTCTGGCAAGCAACATGTCTCGGAAAACACATTCCGATTCTGAGTCGTATCGCGACCCAAATATCCGCTATCTGCATGTTCACAGCCGCGGTGACTACGAAGACTGTTCGGGCGTGATCCGAGCCATCGCACTTCTGCGGCACCTCATCTGCCTGCATCCTCGTAGTCGTTTTATTCCTCCTCCTCCTCCTCCTCCTCCTCCTCGCCCTCTTCCCCCTCCTCCTCGTCATCATGCTTCTCGCCATCGCCATTCCCCATCCCACTCCTCCTCCTACTACTCCTCCTACTACTCCTCCTACTACTCCTCTTCTTCCTCCTCCTCCTCCTGCTCCTCCTCCTCCTCCTCCTCTTTCTCCTTCTCCTCTTTCTCCTCCTCCTCTCCCCCTCCTCCTCTCCTCCTCCTCCTCCTCCTCCTCCTCCTCTCCTCCTCCTCCTCCGCCTCCCCCCGCCTCCTCCTGCTCCTCCTCACCTGGCCCTGAAGCAAGCTCTAATACAATGCTCCTCCTCCTCGTCCTTCTCCTCCACCTCCTCGTCATCATCCGTCTCCTCCTCCTGTTTCCCCTCCTCCTCCTCCCTCCTCATCCTCCTCCTCCCTCCTCTCCTCCTCTTCTTCTTCTCCTCCTCCTCTCCTCTCTCCTCCTCCTCCTCCTCCTCCTCCTCTCCTCAGCAGCAGCAGCAGCAGCAGCAGCAGCAGCATCATCATCATCATCATCATCATCATCATCATCATCATCATCATCATCATCATCATCATCATCATCATCATCATCATCATCATCAACATCAGCATCATCATCGTCATCGTCATCATCATCACCACCATCCTCATCATCATCATCAGCATCATCAGCGTCATCATCAGCATCAGCAGCATCAGCATCATCATCTCCGAGAGAGCGTGATTCACCGACGCTTTACTGTGGAAAATTTCACTCCCTCTTCCTCCGGAACCCGAGGGTCCCCCCCACTCCGAACCCCCCCCCCCCCCTGCTGGAACCCCCCCTCCCCTTCCCCCAGCAACCCCCCCCCCCTTTAACCCCCCCAACCCCCCCTCCAAAAACCGGAAGGGGGTTCACTACCGGTTCGAACCCCTCCCTCCCCCCCTCCTCCGGAAAACCGGGGGGGTCACTACCAGTTCGAACCCTCCCCCCCACCCCTTCTAAAAAAACCGGGGAGGTCACTACAGGTTCGAACCCCTCCCTCCCCCCAAAAAAAACGGGGGGGGTCACTACCGGTTCGAACCCCCTCCTCCAGAAAACCAGGAGGGGTCACTACCGGTTCTAAACCCCCCCTTCCAGAAAACCGGGGGGGGGCACTACCGGTTCGAACCCCCCCCGCACCACATTCCCCACTGCTGTCCCCAGCACCGCTGTCCTCACCACCACTATCCCCGCTGCTCCCAGCACCGCCGCCAGTCCCCACTAGTGCCCCCACCACTGTCGCACTGTCCCCACCACTGTTCCCACCACGGTCCCACTCTCCCCACTTTCCCCACGGTCCCAACCACTGTTCCACTGTCCCCACTGTCCCCACTGTCCCAGTCCCCGCCGCTGTCCCACTGAGCTGTCCCACTGTTCCCACCAGTGTCCCCACTGTCCCCACCACTGTCCCCACTGCACCTCTGTCCCATTGTCCCACCACCGTCCTCGCCACCGCCCTCACCACTATCCCCACCACCATTCCCCACCCCTCATTCCCACTGTCCCCACACCACTGTCCCCACAACCGTCCCCACCACTGTCCCACAGTCCCAACCACTACCCCACTGCCCCCACTGTCCAGTGTCTCACTGTCCCCACTCTCCCCACAAGTGTCCCACCGCGGTCCCACTCTCCCAACTTTCCCCACTGTCCCCACCACTGTCCCACTGTCCCCACTGTTCCCACCACCGTCCCACTGTCCCCACTGTCCCCCCCCCAATCACCGCCGGCAAACGACTCCCTGGTCCCCACCACCGTGCGCACCACATCCCCCGCTGCTGTCCCCAGCACCACTGTCCTCACCACCACGGTTCCCACTGTTCCCACCACCGTCTCCACTGTCCCCACCAGTGCCCCCACCACTGTCGCACTGTCCCCACTGTCCCCACCACTGTTCCCACCACAGTCCCACTCTCCCCACTTTCCCCACGGTCCCAACCACTGTCCCCACTGTCCCCACTGTCCCTCTGTCCCACTGTCCCCGCCGCTGTCCCACTGAGCTGTCCCACTGTCCCCACCACTGTCCCGCTGTCCCCTCACCACTGTTCCCACCACCACCGTCCCCACCACTGTCCGCACCACTGTCCCACTGTCCCCGCACCGCTGTCCCCACCACCACCGTTCCCACCACTGTTCCAATATCCCCACCACTGTCCAACTGTCCCGAGGAGCGGGAATCGTTTGCCGGCAGCGAGGGGAGGGGGGAGGCGGTTCGAACCGGTAGCGACAACCCCCGGTTTTCGAAGGGGAGGGGGGGGGATTCGAACCGGTAGTGACCCCCCCGGACCCCTCCCTCCTGTAGTGAGGCCCCGCCTGGTTTTCGAGGGGGGGGGGGACGGGTTGGGAACCCCCAGTGACCCCCCCCCGTTTTCTGCCAGCAGCGGTAGGACACGCTCTTTCTCATCTCCACTTCCTCTACTTGTCCTCATCCTGTTCATCCCCGTCCTCCTCCTCTTCTTCCTCCTCCTCTTCCTCTTCCTCCTCCTCTTCTTCTTTGCTTCTCCTCGTCTTCCTCCTGCTACCCAGTCCCTTTTTCCTTCTGAATAAAGCCTCCCTGTCGCACCCGGAAACGCGATGGTAAAGCGGGCCATGCGTTTCGCCTGAGACTTCGTCGCCATGAATAATCCTTCATATTAGAAGTGGCAAGAGCTTCACGGATGAGGGCGGGTCGTCTTCAAAATGCGGTTCGCGCCGCCGCGCACATTCGTCTTCAAAGCTTGCGGAAGTTCGCAGAAGTTTCACGAATGGAGGGCGGGTCGTTTTCAAAATGTGGCTATCGCCTTAACGCCGCGCACATTCGTTAGCAAGAACATCACAGATGTATGGCGTTTTTTTTCCGTATGTGGCCCTCGCATGAGCGCAGCGCACAAACAGTCATCTTAAGAGATTGCAGCAGCGTCAAGGACTCTTATGGCTGACGTCCCCAAAGTGTTGCTTTGGTACCATGTGAGACTGTCAGGGCGCAAGCGTCTAGTTGATTTGCGGTGCTGAGGTCCCACGGACGGTGTTCTGGCACGATTCGGGATCGTCACGACGCAACAGCAACGTTAACTCCCCGCGCTGACGGTCCAGGAACGGTGTTCTGGCACGGCTCAGGATTTTCAGACGGTAGTCTTCCAACGGGGCACCTCCCTCAGTGAAAATGAAATGTTGTAGAGACTTTTGCAGAGGGAACGTGGAGGGAAGGTGTATTGCAACATTGTTAATGGGTTTTGGGTTTACGTTGGCCCTCCTTCTGCTCATCATCATCCTCCTCGTCTCGCACGGGTCCCACAAACATCGCGTCGAATACGGTTTGTCTCATTACGCATCAGTGCCGCGCTGTGGCATTTTTCAGTTTCAAGAGCAGCGCGTCGAGCAGCAGTGGGAGATAAGGTGTTACTGTCGCCAAGTCGGTTTTTGTGCGGCCCGGTGGGCTTTGGTACGGCTAAAACGTTTCTGGGGTATACAAATCCTCGAGAGCATTCTTGGCCCCCTGAGTGGCTTCTTGGCCCCCCTGAAGGGCTGTGGCCCCCTGAAGGACTTCTTGGCCCCCCTGTGGTTCCTTGGTCCCCTGAAAGGCTTCCTGGCCCCCATGAAGGGCTTCTTGGCCCCCCCGAAGGGGTCATTGGCCCCCCGGGAAGGGCTTCTTGGCCCTCCTGAAGGGCTTCTGGACCCCCTGAAAGGCTTTTTCGGCCCCCATGAAAAGCCTTTTTGGCCCCCTCTGAAAAGCCTTCTTGGCCCCTTCTGAAGGGTTTCTTGCTCCCCCTGAAGTTTCTTGTCCCCCCTGAAAGGCTTCTTGGCCCCCCTGAAGGGCTTCTTGGCCCCTGAAGGGCTTCTTGGCCCCTCTGAAAAGCTTCTTGGCCCCCCCTGGCGACTTTCTTGGCCCTCCCCGAAGGGCTCCTTAGCCCCCCATGACAGGCTCATTGCCCCCCCATGAAAGGCTTCTTGCCCCCCCCCCCTGGAAAGCGCCGTGACCCACCTGAAAAGGCTTCTTGCCCCCCCCTGAAAAGCTTCTTGGCCCCCCTGACAGGCTTCTCGCCCCCATCTAAAAAAGGCTTCTTGCCCCCCTGAAAAAAAATGGCTTTTTGGCCTCCCTGAGGTGTTTCTTGAAGAGCCTTTTTTTTGTCGGCACCCCTGAAGAGCCTCTAGGCCACTCTGAAGAGCCTTTCGCCCTCTGAAGGGCCTCCTGAACCCCATGAAGAGCTTGTTGGGCCGACGTGCACACGGCTGGGTGTCTGCACATGGAACTGTGTTTTGATATGCTTCCCTTGGGGGATGGGCAATAGGCGCTATTATATCCCAAACGGCCCATCCAGGAGCGAAGCCCATGACAGTTATCTGGACGACGGGCGTCGATCAGCAGATGGTGGAGCACGGATGCCAACACTGATAAAGTTAGACATGTCGGGAAGTTTCGTGCGGCCATCTTGGCAGCCATCGTTCTAAAAATGGAATGCGATGGTGGTGATGATGACGATGCTGGTCAGCATCGTCGTATAGCATCATCATCCGCATCATC